TCTTAATATTAAGATAGTGATTGATTTAATTCGATCTTTTCGATTCATATCTAAACGAACAAACTACATTAAGAAAAAAAACAAACGAAGTTATTTTAGTACCTTTCCATTTTTTATTCTCATTAGGATCTGTTGTTTGAGGAAGGTTGTCATCATTGAAAACTCTATCGGATTTAGCTTCCATTTTCTATTTTAATGTTAATATGGAATCAATACTCATTCCCTTATATAGTTTTCTTAAGACTTGTGAAGTCACGATGAATTTTATTGACTCAGTTGAATATCATCAATTAATCATGTCTTTAACGTATGTTTTTTTTTCTTGGAGAATGTAGATTGTTTTGTGATTGAGATAAGAATTATTCGAATATATGACTACAATATTCAACGTCAACTAAATCTGTTTTTCTTTCGTAAACATACTTAATAATTCTTCAACATTTTTCTAGATTTTATTATATTTAAAGATTAAAGTTGATTCATAATAAAAATAAAAAGAATTGTTTCATACACTGTAACCTCTTTAGACATTTGTCTTCCTCTTTATCAATCTTTTATTTGCTAAACTCATATTTGACAGCTTTCTACAGGTATGCATCATAGCACCTTGATAAACCGCGTAAGAGACTTTGTTTCGCCGAATCTTTCGCTAAGGACCTGATAAACGCTGCGATTCGGTATATTTAATATGTGTCATTGTCGTCTTCCCTTTTCGAAATATTATTATCATATCATTGTGCACGAAAGTGAATCATTTTCTAAGAGGATTTGTGTTGAAGAGTTAATTATTTTTTTTTTATCTTTAAAAAGATACACTCGTTTTAATTTTGCAAAATTTTCGAATATGGTCTTTATCATCATCGCTAGTTAAAGCTGTTTGACAAGCAGACCGATGCACACATATCGAAATTTCTTACAGAACGACGTCAAAAGTTGCTGAAAATTCATATTCTTATGTGAGACTTTTTTCACACAACTTCAATTTCATAGAAGATCATTGCGTACATTTATGAAATAAGTCATTCATTTTCAAAATAATGACAATATTTATAGCCAAACAGTTTTACAAAATGGTGCCAGTTTTTTTTTGTTAAGATCTTCAAAATATCTACAAAAGAAAAAAAATCTCATTGAACAATAATCAAATATTTTCTCAATAGATGATTAAGGTTGTGCGTATTTTTCAAATATAACAACAAACAGAATGAAAAAAAGACTAAAGAATCTTATGAAATATATTATGTGCACGTCAGAGACCGTCATCAGGTCAGGGCTGCCCTGTTGCCCTGATGCCCTGTACTGCCCTGCCCTGTACTTCAGGGCAAACTTCTTTTTTTGCCCTGTCCTGTTTGCCCTGCAGGGCGACCGAAGAAAAGTACAGGGCAGGACAGGGCAAATTTTTTTTGCCCTGTTAATTTTTCACATAAGTTTATTTGGAAGCCTTTTTCGAAGCTAAATGGAATCTTTCAAAGCATCTATTATCGATGGAATTCCATCAACATCCATCAACCAGTGATGAACCTGTCTTTTCAGTTGGTTTCATCAGAACTAATGAATTTGATACTCATTCTAATTTATCATTGTACAATACAGTTCTCCCCACTTCAGAAAAGTTTAACCACGGTTATCACATCAAAAGTATTTAGAACACATAGAAAATAAATCGCAACCTCTTGGTAAGTAGCGATGAAAATCTGCAAATCGATAAAATGATAGCGTTCAGTCAATCACAATCTCTAAGTTCATTGATAAATATCTGATTTTTCTGCAGTCATCCTGCTTATTCTTTGGATCCGTACAAGAGAAGTGAAGATACTGGATTAAAGCCAGTTATTTTTTTTTACAAAGAATAAACTCAAATGACATCATTTTCTCTCGATTATCGTGCAATTTTTGATCAATTATTTCGTTTTCTTTCACTGATAAGATTTCAAAATTTTTTCTCATTAATGAAAAATATTTATCAATTTTTATTTTTTTAAATTAGTTATTCAATCTTAATCGACTAGAGAAATTTGAAAATAATCTTGACAATTTAAAAAGACAAACATAGCATCTCAGCAGGATTATAATTATATAAAAACAGTATCGTTTTCATAGAATTTAAACGAACTTTTGATTGTTTCTACGCATGGATAATATTCTGTTGAAATGACTTAAACAAGGCATATATAATGAACACAAAAACCATTAGATTTATTCATCATGTCATAAATTCATCCTATAGTTGAGATTCAATTTAAAGGCCCTCAGGGCGCCCTGTCCTGTACTGCCCTGCCCTGAGGGCAGGGCAGGGCAAAAAATATTTTATGTTTTATCGTCCAGGGCAGGGCAGGGCAAGGCATAACAGGGCAAAGGGCAGGACAGGGCACAAAAAAAGTGCCCTGTGACGGTCTCTGGTGCACGTCTT